ACAAAGACTGTTTTATTGATGGCCACATCTTTTGTTCCTAGCCAATTTGAAAGAAGCAAAATTTCTGCACAAGGATTAGCTGTCCCTAAACCGGAGCCACTTGCTTAACACAATTCACACTGCTAAGATTCTCTACTTTACACAAGTGCATACAATCCTTCACTTTTACTATGAATTGACACTGTTTTGACCCCCACTCTCCAAATCTGCCCATATGATTTTGTTCTCTTTCTGCAATTCTCGTAAACACTTCAAGTTCCTTCCTTGAATGTGAATGGACGGAAAAGAATCACGACATATAATCAAGTACAGAAACTTTGGTTGAGATTTGGGCAAACACTCAAGTTAAGAAGGATCAGGTTACTGCTTAGGTCTAAGGCCTGACAATAAATACTTTTGGGATAACTAACTGAAAGACCTGTTCCCTCTTTTTCTTGGGAACTATGTACATACATGAACATTAAGCAAAGCTTCCTGGAGAGGGAGTGAAATAATCTTAGCTGAAAAAAATCTCACATGTAGAACATACACATTATGCTTTTCTTTGGAAAACCTCACTGCATTTGCAGGGCATGAGGGGCATGGCGGGGGTGGGCAGATGACTAAGTCAGAGTGAGAACATCAATGAGGCTCTGTAACTTCCTGACTATGCAGCCTCTGGCAAGTCACATAACCACTCTGAATTTCGCTTTCCTAATGGGTAAAATGGGACTAAAAAACACTGTCCCTGGCTATTGCACAAGGATGGTATGAGGGCCAAATGAGAGAAGAGCTAGGGAAGAGCTTTCTGAACTCTAAAGTGCTGGGTAAAAGCAAGGAGTTAATATATACCACAGAACTTCCTTGCTGGCTGTGGACTGTGTGTGATAGGGTGGCGATGGTGTGGTGAAGTGTGCTAGGGAGGATATTAGTAGTTTTTACATTCAGATGCTAAACCACAGCTGCCAAGCAGGCAGAAAGCCAGTGCAAAGCCTGCTCTTTTTGCTGCACTTGAGTCTGCAGTTTCCTCTCTTCACTATTCACTCGCTGCCCTGCCTATGAACAGGCAGGTGTAAGGCCCTTCACCTCCTACCACCCCAGGGAGGAGGGAAGCCAGTGCTAAGCCACAGAGAGGCTGGGCCACTGATAATAGCTACTGTTTATTGGCTGCTTACTCTGTGTCAAGCATGATGCAAGTGTTTTATATACATTATCTTATTTATTTCTCATATCAGAAAATGAGGTAGGTACTATTATTATCCCCACTTTATAGATGAGGAAACTGAAAGAGAAGTCAAATTGCTTGCACAAAACTGTAAGTAGACAGTCTCCACCAAGAGTCAAATGCAGGTGGTCTGAGTCTAAAACCCACATCCTCAAAATACTTAGCTATCCTGCCTTCTTAAAAGCCAGAGTAATCTCAGGCTTGTGTACATGCTCACTCTCTCAGCCTCCTGCCACCAGCAGAGCCTCATTGGGCATATCCCATTTCTGAAAGGAGCAAATGCAGAGAAGGGGGTTGGATGCTAATGATGATCTGGGAACTCCATTTCCTACTTGCTGCATGGACCTTCTTCAGCGCAGTAATGTCCTCTTCTGTGGGGGTGGCCAAGCATGTATCTGGTGACCTGTATCTTTTTGCTCCTGGAGATTCTCGCTAATAGATGTCATAAAGTTGTCTAACTTAAGTTTTAGGCTACAATAGGATTAGAGTTGTAATTAAGGTAGGGCTTGGGTATAGTTGTAGCCAAGGAACATCTGTGACCTGGGGATAGGGAGCAGCTGCTAATAGAGGCAGCAACTGGTACCACACCAAATCCCTCATCTCCATGGAGCAATGGAATGATGTCCATACAGATGTTACCAGAGCATCCGGAGGGCCACATCCAATGCCAGGTGCCAGGTGTGTGCACATGATAAGGCACTTAGACATGAGAGAAAGCAGTAAAAGGCAGTATATAATGAAAAGGGATCAGTATGTCAGAAAGTAAGTGAAACTGAATTTACATTTCTAACACATTGCCATGTTATGCTCCTACTGCTGCTCGAGAACCACACTTTAAGGTCCACTATCTTAGAATAATCATTTGGGGTTGAATGGAAGTTGGGGCATCAACCACTTATCTCCTATGGAGATGGCTGTCAAATGTCCTGATTGCCTGCAGTTCCTGCTTATGACTCTTAAGCCAGTGTAATTACATCCCCCTTCACTCTCTAAAGTGCCCTGGTCATTTTCACATATAAATTACATGATCACATTACTAGACGATGCTTTGAGTTCAAGTCAAACACTCTTCTCAGTGAGTGGGCGCAGGTTGGTGAACTAGCATTCATCACTAAAATATGTGTTTCAATTGGGACATCTCTTCTTTGTCCAGTGTTCAAGGATCAAAAAGAGAGAGGAAAAAAGCAATCAGTATCAACCATATTTTACACTGGTTGGATCCTGACTGATACATGTTATAAGCATTGCTCTTAATTTATATGGAAACTATTCAGCACTCATTATAAATATAGCTTTTGATATCATTTTTGCTTAACATTCTTAACTGTTTAATTCATTTTACTGAATAGTAGGGTGTCAGTTGCTACTAACTCATTTTATATCTTAATGTTCATTGGCACAATTTTTATGAAAATATGAAGCATATTTTGTATTAAGTTAAAATATCATAACTTAAAAACTTTGACCATAATGTAGTTCACGGTAAAACAGAGTTCTGAATTAATATATGGTATTAGTTGCCAAGTATTTCTGGTTCATCCAGAAGTAAAAGTGTTCATTGAAAATTTACTACGTCTGGCAGTCATAGTAAGAGGCCATGTAATTTCTGGAAAAAAAGTAGTGAAACAATATTCCTATTTTTCTTAATCTAGTTTCTTTTTCTTGGCTCTTTCTACCTAAAGGTTACCAAAAACTAGGTTTAAATGATTTTGTGTATTAGACACCTCCCATCTTATTAATAGAACAGGCTTAACCTCTTCGGATTTCTTAAGAAACTGATAACAAGCAGTGTTTGGGATGCAGTTTAAGAGTTTACTTAAACCACTTCCTCCCAACCCCACACAAAACAATAAACCCAACAAGCAAGCTCCAAATGAGAATCATAGACATCTTATTGCTCTTTGCAAAACCAAGAATTGTGCAATTTTACTTAATCCAAAATTGTTTGAATTTTGTTGTTTTAAGCCTTTTACTAGACTTTTCTTGTTACGCCAAAATAACCACATATGGTTTCAATCCTTTGAAAGAAGGACAATTAGGGCTAATCTTGTAGAATAGCAACATTTAAAAGGTTTTAGTATGGTAGAATTTTTTAGTTGGAGAGATCCTAGCAGCTTTCTGTTCTAAACTTGTAGTTCATTCATTACAGGAGTCCCTTCCCAACCTCACTGAGAGAATGGTTCTCTAAACTGAGTACTACTTCCGTTGATAGGAAGGCCGCAGCCTCAGAGGGTGGGCAGTTGGTTTCATTGCTGAGAGGGTTAGCTACAAAGGTTTCTTATAGTGAGTTACAACATGTCTCCCAATATGTTTACTTGAGATAACTACAGACTAAGCTACTGACTGAATTATGTCCTCTCAAAATTCATATATTCAAGTCCTAATCCCCAGTGTGATTGTATTTGGAGATAATGATTTCAGGAGGTGATTAAGATTAAGTAAGTTTATAAGGATGCAGTCCTAATTTGATAGTATTGGTGGCCTTAGAAGAAGAGAAAGAGAAAGATCCTTCTCTCTCTCCACTATGCGCACTGAGGAAAAGCCACAGAGGACAAAGTGAAAAGATGGCCATCTGTAAGCCAGGAAGAGAGCTCTCACCAGATACCAAATAGGCTGGCATGTTGAGCTCGGACTTTTTACCTCCACAACTATGAGAAATAAATTTCTGTCAGTTAAACCACCCACTCTATGGTATTTTGGTAATGCAGCCTGAGCTGACTAGGATGGACTATGTGCAGCCTTTTCTATGACAGAGCTATCATACCCATCCTAACACCTATGGTCTTTAAAATGAAAATTGTAATGAGTTCCACTTTTCTGTATCTGATACAATTTTCAGATTGCTGTCCAGACTGACTGTCCATATTGAGATCTCTCCAGCTTATGTCTGTCTTATCAAAATAATGTTGTCTAGAACTGAACGTAGAATATTCTAAATTCATCCTGACTAGTACAGAATATGCCAAAACATTATTTTCTATGAGCTAAATTCCATATCTTCTTGTGGATCATACATAATATAATGTTGGTTTTGGTTTTTCAGAAACACATTATATGAGGGTTATATATGTAGCCACCTAAAGTCTGCATGTATTTTAGATAAGCTTCTTTCTAGGCCCTGTAATCTAGTAGACTCTTGGATTACCAAATGTAAGACCATATGAAAAAGTGTAAAAGTTTAAAGAAAACCGGTATTTCACCATACAGACATGACCTCAAGAACCAGCTGGTTTATACGATATAAAGTCAATTCTATACTATTTGGAAGATGCTAAATGCTATGGCAAGTAAGGAGAAGGAGAGCAGGATAGGGGATCTGGGGACTACATCTGGTCTCAGTGGAGCAAGAATCAATCACTGGATTGCCTTAACATGGTTGTCACTTTTTCTGGTTCTGCAGCCTCCGTTCTAGGTATGTGACCTTGACAATTTAGCCTAGCCATGAGTCAATTGATTGATTCAGGAGTTTAGTATGTATTTTACATATTTAATATCTCTGATGCAGGGTTGTTGCAGACTCTGATGATTAATTCAGCTTAGAAATAGTCACTGAGTGATTCGTTTAGAATAACAGTTTGTGATTTTATTAGTGGTGTATCTGACTTTGAAGGTACCTTCATTTCATTTAAGCAATTGATTAATCATCTATCATTTAGTCAACAAATATTTATGGGCTGCTGAATATGCAGAAGGCTGAGTTATATGTACATGTATTAAAGTTACAGCTGCAGAACTGTGAGCTCTATAGAGTTCCTGGGTGTTGGTAAAGATGGAATTAGGTGCCTAGAAATACTATACAGTTAAAAATGGCAATATTTTCCAATAGAATATAGCTGTGATTTGAGCATTTTTCTTCTTTTTTTTAATTTTTATTTTTGCTTTATGATTACATAAGAACATGTTAATTGGTCTCACAATACCTCTCTGGTAGGTAGATTAGCATGTTTTCCTCATTGCATATGGGGGGAAACTTGAGATTCCAGGAAGATAGGTGCCTTACCCTTTGTCACTTAGGGAGTGTTCATGTTGGAATGGAAACCTTAGGCTTCAGGATCATTGTCTGGCAACATCCAATCTTGAGCCTGTTGGTATAAGAGGTCACACAGCACTGGCTCTATGTCTCCTTGGGAGACAGGGGGCTTTTACTGTGATACTTAGCCAGACCTCCCTGTTTCTCAGGTCCACATCCTTGGTGTCAAAGGGCCTCAGTTATGAAAAGTTCTTGGGGTATGGCCATCATCTGTCTGCCAGTGGGGTTCAGCCTTCCCTTTGGTCCAGGTACCAGCAAGAAAGAAGGGCAGGTGAACAGGCCAAAAGAGGGGTTCAAACATGTTTATTCCAGCTCCTTTATCTTATTGCTGCTCCCAGCTTGCTACTTATCCTCCTATACAATTACAGAAAAAGAGGAGAAAGATAATCACAAAAGAATTCTAGATATGTGACCCTGACCACTTAGGGAATAGCAAGTCCAGGCCTTATCTTTTGGACATTATTACCTGGTGATTTTTCAACCTAGGGTATCTACCCCATGGGGTAAGGAATCTTACCCCATGGAGATGTATTAAAAATACCTGGGGGAAGGGTGTTAAAATAAGTGTCTCTGCCTCCTATCCTCCCCAATAAGAGGATCTCATGCTAACAAGGATTCTCAACTCTGGCTATATATTCAAATTACCTGGGGGAATAAAAAAAAATACCCAGGCCTGGGGTCCACCTCTAGGCATTCTGAGTTCTTAGAATTGTTACAATCTGTGGTATAATCCTGATATGTGTATGT